GCCTTTTTCTGTCTTCACCATGAAATGCTAAGGGCAGCGTAGTGAGTGGCCCGCAGGCTTACATAGAAAAACACTCAACTTCTTTGTTCAGAGTGGAAGTCTTGGGCAACCACAGGCTTTGGTGAGTATTGTCGGAGATGGCACGCCTAGCTTGGAGCTGTTCCACGTTCACGGGGCTGAGAGCTGCCTTCTTTCATCCTCTGTGTCTAATGGGGCCTGAAGGGGCACAGGACAGCTCTCTGGTGATACAGATCCGTGTCAGGTTCTTCTGAAACACAGTTTTTCCAAAAAAATGCAGAAGTGGGTTTGAAACTCACATGGGACTCGGTTGTCACTCCGGGTAGGGTAGGGTTTTTAACGTCTTCAGACTGGAGGGTTCTCTATCAGCAGCTGCTGTTTAGAACTCCCTGTTGGACCACATCCCATGCAGACAGAAAACCCTCCGGGGCTAACGTCTGGCCTGGGAATGCTGCTGTAACCGGGGACGGAGCTGCTCTTTTGGAGGGGCAGCAGCATTTGGAGTGCAAATGGCATCGTTCTCACCGCAGCTGTGCTTCATCAGGGTGATGGCGGCCCACCAAGGCGAAGGCGCCCTGCCAAAGGTGACTTGCTGGAGAGCCACACGGTCCTCTAAGAGAATGCAGCTCCACAAAGGGCTGCTTAACCTGGACCCAGGCTTTCAGGGGCCCGGGAGTGGGAACAGAGCCGCAAAGGCTGCAGTTGTTTTCCCTGGCATGAAAAGGGGTATTCCCACCCCCACCCCCAGATCAGACCGTGACATCTGAACAGCAGCATTCCGTTCTGTGCAAGGCGACCGAGAAAGGTAAGAGACGGCCGAAGCCCTCTGGTATTTTCCAATCTAGTGACGAGCTAAAACAAGGGTAATCACAGATGATTTCCGCCAGCTTTCCTGTGCTCCTGGGAAGGGGGCCAGACCAGGGAAGGCAGGTGTCTTCAGTCCTCCAGGGAGCAGACAGACTCTCCCCCACAGGACGGCAGGATGCAATGTTGCAACCCTTTAGAGGCCTTAGAGCTCCTGTCAGTGGGCACACCACTGTCTTCCTCACAGTGAGCTTTCCCTGTCTTCCTTGTGAAATATTCACTCCAGCATGGTGGGCGGCGAAGGTTTGCTCACACAGAAAACCCTTCCAAGTTTCTCTTTAGAGTGAAGGTCTTGGGCAGCCGCAGGCTTTGGGGGGCACTGTTGGCCATCCCACTGGCCTTGGACTCTCCGCCCCCGAGGAATGAATCGCACGCAACAATTCCCTTTGTCCTTTTGAACTTTCAATTGTGAAATTGTTTTAAATTTATGGGAAGGGAGGAAGAAGAACATACCCTCTACCCCTAACCTAGATGTGTGTGGTAAATTCTATACAGCACTCTGTTCCCATGTGCGCATGTTCATTCTGTTGTATGAATGTGTGTGCATGTGCGTGTGTGTGTGTATCCACACGAATCAAATGAAAGCTAGCTGAAAGCTTCTGAATATCCCCTCCAATGTATCCAAAAGACAAAGATAGGTTTCCATTGAACCACAGAGCAAACATCAAAATCAATACATTAATGTTGATACGTTTTCTCTCCTAATCTAGGATTCCATTTACATTTCATTAATTGTTCAATAATAGTCATAATAACAGAAAAAAAATCTCCTCTGTGTTCCTTTAATTCAAACTAGGATAACACGTTGTGTTTATTTATCATATATATACATATATATTATTTTTATTTTTTGTTTATCTCTTTGGTTTCCCAAATCTGGGACCACCTCGCCTTACTCTCTCCCTGTCTTTTGTGACCTTGATAGGTTTGAAAAGCACCAGATAGTAATTTTGCAGAATTGACCTCCATTTGGTTCCCCTGATGCTTTCTTCTATGACACCGAGGTTATGTATTTTTACATCGAAATATCTGAGTCAAGCTGTCTCCCTCAGTCTCAAGGCAGAAAGGACACAACGTGGTGAGGCTCTCTGTGGTCACTTAGTCAAGGTGTTTCTTCAGTCTAAAGCCACTGCTCTATTTCCTGTGTAATTAATATGTAGATAATCACAGGGAAAGTGACCTTAGGTAAACACTTTACCCTTCGAATGCAACTTTGTCACCCTGGACCGTTCTTGCACAGAGAGAAAGTTACCATGATAGTCGCTGCCTGTTGCTATTTCTGGTTTTACCATTATTCTGCCTTTGTTACTTGACTTTTTGCTGAAAAAAGTGATTTTTTTCCCCCTATTCTCCTATTCTCTTCTGGCTTCCACGCTAGCACACACATGGGCCCATGCACTCCCTGTCCCCAAATACGCTACCCCACGGGATGTCACAAGCAATAAAAAGTTTCTGCATAGCAAAGGCAAAACTAGGGAGAAGGGGAAAACCACCAATCGGGGGAAAAATATTTGCGAACCATATATGAGATCAGGTGATGATATCCTGCCATGGTGTGAACATGTGGTGCCCCCCCCCCCCCCGCCCCCCATGCTCGTATCTTAAATGTTTGGTCCCCTGCTGGGCTGTTTCAGAGGAGAAATGACCTAATTGGAGGAAGTAGTCACAGAGGTGTGTCTTTGAGGGATATACACAGTCCTTGGTCCCCTATCCTCCTTCTGTGCTAACTGTCCATCATGAAATAAAGATGCCCCTCCACTAAACAAACGTCCGCACTGCCATGGTGTTCTACTCCAACACATGAAGTCAAGCGACCATAGCCTGAGCTCTCTGATTGTGAGAGCCAGAGTGTTGAAGGGGCTGCTAGTTAGTGGCTGTGGCTTACCAGCTAAAGTTCCGAGTCTGTCTCCAGCAGTCCAGCAGGGTTACGTGGCTTCTCTCTGACACCGCCTCCTTTCTCCCAGCATTCAGTTTAGTCATGTCGGTGTGTCCTGTTCCCCTCCCCCCCCAAAGCAAGTCCTTCCTCCTTTAAATTGGGTCTGGTATTTTTGACAAAGTGAGACAAAGGTAACTAGGAGAGAAAATCGGTGACAGAGAAGAAAGGTCACAGCTGTGTGCCCGACGCTATCCCAAGAGTGTTATAAGATGTTCAAGGCTTAACACCAGGGCTGATGCGTATATAGATAAATTGCTAGTTGTATATATCCAACTATTGATATTTAATATCGCCCATATAAAATACCCCCACAGGAGAAAACAACTGTGTGTCTCTCCATATGATCCTTCTGTGTGGCTGGCCTATATCCATATGTATCTGTACGAGAAGATGGTCTTATGGCCTCAGGAGAATTTTTACCAGTTTATGGAGCCCCTTTGAGTGCATGAGAGATCTCACAGAACCGGACTGGACCAGTCCTTGCACTCAGCTGGTCTAGTTTAGCTGATAGCAGCAGCTTCAGAAACCTAACAGAGAAGGTTTTTTTTTTTTTTTTTTTTTTTTTTTTTTTTTTTTGTTCCCAGAAGAAAGATATACACAGGATTGGAATGTTAATAAGAGATTTGCAAATGTATATAGAAATATGATAATTCATACTATTTTGTGGTAAGGATCTTGGCTGGCATTAGTGATGCATCATATGATTGCATTAATTGCTGAGAAGAAACTCGGAATGGCATAATTGTGCTTGATGTTCAGGTAATAGAAATGGAATTTAAAGTGTCATTAGAAAATGGAAAGCGTTACTGAGTGAAGAGACTTTAAAAGCACAAGAGTAGAAGCAAACAGCACCGGTAACCCTTTTATGGGGCCAAGGGGTACAGGGAGAGCCCTCCACACCACCATTGACCCAGACTTGGAGGAGGAGCAAATACAGGGTCAGCGGGTCAGCCGCAGCCTGTGGCAGCTCTGAGCCCTTTGGGAGGGTGGCTGCATGAATCACAAGGCTGCAAGCAACTGGACTGGTTGGTGGCTATGGTCCTTCTGCCAGCCTAGCCTGGTGGTGGTGTGCCTGTCTGTGCGTGTTCAGGAGTGGGCTCTCTGTGTGTCACACTGCTTGAGCTTATACTTGTGCTGCTGGCCAGCGAGGTGCCGCTGGCCACCACTGCACTCTCTCTGCTTGACGTTCTTGGTAGGCTGTGGAGTCATTCACTGCTGCCTGCTTCAGCTAGCTGTAAGGACGGAGTAAATACATCTTATATCTCTTGGGATAGCGTCAGGCACACAGCAAACCTGTGTTTTCAAAGTTAAAAGAAATAGTTTAAATTAGGGGTGGGTATGTAGCTCAGTTGGTAGGATGCCTGCCGGGTGGGCATGAAGCCCTGGGTTTGTCTAGTACTGCAGACACCAAGCAAGGTGACAAATACTGCATAAACCCAGCAACACGGGGGGGGGCGGGGGGGGGGAGGGAAGTGTCAAGCAGAAACTCCTGGGGTGGAATGGGAGGCATTTCCAGCATCTCCTATCATTGTTCCTTCCATCTCCCAGCTAGGAAGAGAAATGGGAATTTTTGTTGCACCTATTCCCATGAGCCTTTGCGTTCTATCCATCATTTCAGAAAGTTGCAGAGAAGGAAGGTCTCGTTCAGGAAGTAAGGAAGAAGAAAGGGGGAACAGAAGAGAGAGGGGGGAGAGGCTCTGGGTTCATCAGTTGCCAAAGTCAGACTGGAATCCTTTCTCTGGTTGTTTCAGTGTGGCAGTGAGGTTTGTGTGAGCGGGGGAGATACTATGGCTGTGTGCATCCAATATGCCTTGGTGCCCTACTTGGTGCCACCGCTCCTGTGGTCACGAGCACCACACTCGCATGGACCCTTGATGTGCAGGAGGTCACCAAGACTGATAAGGAAAATCCTAGGAAAGAGCATTCTTCCCCATTGCACCGCTGTTTGGAGAGGCTGTTAATGGGTCCACGAGGTCATACTTTCTGTCTGAGATGAACTTTGCTTCTAACGCAGGAGAGAGAGAGAGAGAGAGAGAGAGAGAGAGAGAGAGATTGATTTCCGGGAAGGTAAACGGGCTGATCAAGGAATAGTTCCATTTTCTTTCTTACCTGAGCTATTTAAGTTCTCCATCCACTTCTGCTGAAAATGACGGCATCAAAGGAAAGAGAAAGGCAGGGCAGCCATAGCTTTGTATGCCTTCTGTCTGTCCTTTCTCAATAGCAAGCTGAAGACAGAGGGTTGGTAGAATGCACACTTACCAAGCAAGAGGCAGAAGGAAGACTCGAGGTGCTTGTGGGACTGCGTGCAGTTTTCATCCGGAGGTAAGAACAAAATACATATGCATGTAAGAGCTGAAAATACAAATTGTGTCTTTCCAACGATTGCACATCCGTGGTAAATATTCTGATATTTGCATTTAAAAGTGACATCGCCCAATATAAAGACGAATGGTAAGACTCGTGTCAATAATTTGAAATTTAGATTTTTTTCTTTCTCTAGAATAACATTAAGCAAATAAGAACGACCATAATGAGACGAGAAAGACCTTGGGATAAAGGAAAATTCTTCATGTTTTAGTGGGTTTAAAGATGTTTTCATTTTGCACAGAGACCTGCAAGTTAGAGAGAGCTAATCTTGGCCCCAGAATTCCTCGAAGGCATCCTCTTGGATTGGAAGACGTGTGAGCGTTAGCACTGGGGATCATCCGGCATACCAGAGAGGGTGCTCTGAGCTGTAGTCCAAAGAATATATAGACACTGTCCCTTAGACAAGAGGATGGCCTTTCTGCCCAGGAGAAAGGATTTGAACAAAGTGAGGATTAACAGACAGATTAATGAGGTAGACTTAGCATCCTCCACCTAAGGCTGGCAGGAACTTAGGTCTGTCCTCTTGAAGACTGACAGGGACTGAACAAGCTTCTTAGATCCTCATACTGCTTTGACCTCCCAGTCAGAACTGACCAGAAACTGGATAGTATTTAGTGGCCTTTGAAAGCTGGGGTGGGAAGGAGCATCCTAGATGTGGCCACGCTCAGCTTTCATTCTCTATAGGAGGAGACTAAGATCCTATGCTTGAACAGGAGAGAAAAGTGACCTGGTCCTCATTTCCTTTTGGGTTATGTGACACCAGACAAGTTACCTGCCCTTCCATGCTCTGTTTAGATAACTTCAGATCATGGTTGTTGGCTCTGAAGTCCCCCAGTGCTGGTCCACTTCTGAGAGCTGGCGTTTGAGTGTGTTTCATTGACCCCGGGTATTTTACTCCAGGTGCCACGGGGTAGAGCTGCTTTAGGAAATCCTTCTCACAGGCGGCAGCTGCATTGAGAGGAGCGGGCTGGAAACCCCAACTCTGCTCTGTCTCAGAAGAGAAGCGACCGCAGTCTGAGCTCATTTGGCAGGATTTTGTCTGCACTTTGGGTAGTTTTGAGCAATGCTGAACCTGACCTTAACTTAACCTCCTGTAAGGAGAGCAATGTTTTATGTAGGTAGTATTTGTATTTATAGTGGTACTTCTTGCTTAGCAGGAGAATAGGAAGCCACTAATTAATCCCCACAAGGAATGAGGTGTTTAGAGTGATTTGGTCAAATATTAGAGCACCCTCAGATTCTGGTGGTCTCTGTAAGAAACCAAATAATGAGCCTTTTATCTGGGTTGTCCCACATGCTGCAGGAAGGATAAAGGAACAGGGGCTGAATAGTGTACCTAACTGGCTAATTTAAAAAACATTGCTTTTATAAGCAGAGGTGTAGGAGGAAGAGGAGAATGAGGAGTTGCAGACAAAGGGGCCTCCTCAGAAACCTGGTATCCATAATCTTAGGGACTCCTTTCATGATTGCCAAATGATACCAAGGAAATCAGGGTTCCCTTTTGGGGCTCTTAGTTTTCTTACTGAGAGAATTTAAGAACAAACTCAAATGGTACCTTAAGAATAATTTTTACTAGAGTTTAAAAGAAACATTTAGAGCTGGAGAGATGGCCCAGCTATTAAAAGCACTTGCTGCTTTTACAGAGGACCCAGGTTCTGTTTCCAGCACCCACATGGCAGTTTACAACCGCCTGCCACTCCAGCTCCAAGGAACCCAGTATCATCTTCTGGCCTCCACAGGCACCAGGCACACACGTGACACACACATGTGCATGCAGACACTGGCACATAGCGCATACAGCCACCCAAAGGGAGGGGAACTTTAGAGAAAGCATAAAGAAGCCCAGAGCTGGAGAAGTGTGCTTAGAAAAGAGAAGAAAGAGGAGAAGTTTTTTTTTTTTTGAGAAATTCAGAATCCAGATTTTATCCTCTTGTTGAGAAGATGTTTTTCCTTTGATGTGCTTTTATTGCTGTTCTAATAACAAGGCAGCTCTCTTTGCTCCTGGATGTCCAAGAGCTGGAAGAGGTAGGCCACTAGGAACAGGTGGCTGGGAGTATGTAAACCTTGGTCCCTTCCTGCTGTTCCCTCTGCTTCCCAGTCACCAAGAGATAAAGAGGCTTTCCCACTACCCCCCACCCCACACTACCACCATCATCCCATCATCACCAACACCCCACCACCAACACCACCAACACTAACACCACACCACCAATACCACACCACCAACACCATACCACCAACACCACCAAAAATACCATACCACCAACACCCCACCAACACCCCACCACCACCACCACCACACTACCAACACCATACCACCAACACTAACACCACACCACCAATACCACACCACCAACCAACACTACCACCATCCATCACCAACCCCACACCACCACCACCACCACCACCACACTATCACCCTATCACTAACACCACGCCACCAGCACCCCACCACCACCAAGATGTTCTGCCTCACTATGGGCTCAGAACCTTGGAGCCAAGTGACCATGAACTTAGCCCTCTGGAACCATGAAGCAAATTCAATCTCAGCCTTTACATTGTTCCTGTCAGGGATTTTTGTGACACTAGGTACAAAAACAGCTAGACCCACAAAGTGTCCCCACTTTCCCCTCTACTGACAGCCTGTTCTTCTCAAACGTGGACCATGGTAGATTGAAGGGGAAACCCTACGTTTCTGTCCCTTGTCTCCTTGTTCCTAGAACAAATGTCTCAGGTGAGCTCTGGTTAAGGGGAAATCTTCCTTTTTCTCCGTGAAGCTCTCTCAGTAAGCGTGCTGTACTTTGATTTAATTTACGATGCTCTTTCCACTGTGAGAAGTTGACTACAAGTCAAGTAATTCTAAAGAAGCAAGCTAATAAACGAACGAGCCAGCACACAGACATGCTATGCCCTCAAAGTCAAGTATCTAAGTGGCGTTGTGTGGCCACTGTGTCGGATATTATGAGCTGAAAACCTCATCGAGTTGAGTGAGTATTGCAGGAAAGTTTCCTCCTTAGGCAAATGGTTTCCTATTTGGGTGAAAACGAAAACAGCTCAATCCCTCTCGGCGTGAAAAGTGTCTGTGTGGGATACATTGCGCTGAAGAGGGTGAAGTCAAGTGTCGGAATCTTGGGTTCTGAACCTGGCTCCGCTAATTACCAGCCATAGACCGTGAACGATGTCCTTATCTGGAGAGGGGAAATGAGAGCCTGTTGGTTTAACCTCTTAGGGCTGTTGTGAGTTTGGAATGAATCGGTATGTGTAACGTGCTTAGTTCCAATCCTTGAATGTAGTCATTACTTGATAAATGTGAACATCATCGTCGTCGTCATCGCTGGCTTCATTTTTATTTTATGGGGTGTGGGGGGGGCGGAGACTGAAGTGGAAATTCAGAAACTCCAAAGAAAGGTCTTTTTCAAGTCATGGGAAAGACTTGGGAGAAGAAATAATAGAGTAAGAATAATATGGAAGAAATATATGTATTATTCTGTTTATCAAAATTTACTGGTCATTTCAAACTCTGAAGCCTTCCTTGGCCAAGCGTGGAAAGCTAACTCTCCAGTTCCCTGAAGGCCTCACTTCGCAATGATTGTAATTACAATCAAATTGGTACTAAGCCAATCGAATGAGCCTGGCACGCCAGTCATACAGGGCTTTTCAATGTCATGGTCTTATTTTTTTTCATTCCTTTAATTTATGGTAATCTAATGTGTGCTCTGAGTACTCTATTAAGCTGGTTTGGTCAAAACCCTTTTAAGAAGTTTCAAGCCCTTCTCAAGCATTGGCTGCACCCACCGGCGAGGGCGGCTGGAAGGTGGAGGACGGACGAGAGGGGAATGCTTCAGAATAGGGGGCCATTATTCCCTTTGTCATATTTTGGTTCCTTTAAAATTGCTCACTTGCATTTAAGTTCCCAAGAGCCATGAAAATTATGCGGAACAATAGCAGAGACTTGTGAAAAGGCTCCACAGATAGCCTCTGAAATACACAAGCCCTTAAACCCTCTTGCGTCCAGTAGCCTCTGACAGACTTTGTGAGAGGCGGCCACCTGCAGGAGTTCTAAAATAGATGCTTCCAGAAAACAGAGAACTCTCAGAACTGATGTGTTAATATCATGCTCACAGCTACTTGACCTCTGACCTAAGTGGCAAGAGCAAGATGACTCAAGCCATGGTGAAAGGGAGAATTGAGCTGTCGTTCATATATTCTGGGCCATGACTGAGAGCAGAGCGGGGTGGGGGGGACAACTACGGAGGGATTTTTTTTAATGGTATCAATTTGGCAGATTGTCTACCCAGCTGAAGTTTACCAAGTCATTAGCTGATCTCTGCTTCACTTTGCCTGTGTGTGTCAGCTTAGATTTTCTTTCTTTCTTTCTTTCTTTCTTTCTTTCTTTCTTTCTTTCTTTCTTTCTTTCTTTCTTTCCCTAGAATTTCAACAGTTTACTTACTGTTTGGGTGTGGTGGGAAACCAGTAATCAGGGTCAGGGGTAAGGAAAATGTGTATCACGGTGATATTGTTTATGGAGAGTTTTTAAAGCATGGAATAAAATATGCAGAAATAAATACTTTTATTTTATTTAAAAAAATGCTTAGAATCCCTGGTAAGAAGGAGAAAAAAATGCTCCAACATAACGAAAACTTCATTAAAGCTAAAAATTATATATAATTCACGATAAACCAATAACTTCTACTGATCAAACCAAAGCGCCTTGTGAGGGTCACATCCCAGCTGCCTCTCTCCCTCCCTCCTTCCCTCCCTCCTTCCCTCTCTCTCTCTCTCTCTCTCTCTCTCTCTCTCTCTCTCTCTCTCTCTCTTCCCCCTTCTTTTCAAACTGTCAACACTGTAAAGCCAATCCAGCTGTGGGGAAGGCAGCTGTATGATATTCTGCCTCCCACTTCGTCAGCCAAATTCCCTGCCCAGTTTTCCTTCTTTGCCTCGGCTACAGGGTTAGAATGATTCCCTGGCCGGGGATGGCTTCTGCCAGCTAACGCCGAATTAGCGGGATCACACTCTCCTAGGCTCTTTGCTGCCATCTCTCCTCCTCATGTGGTCTTTTGTCTGTTCTCTGGTATCTTCTCCTTTTTTCTTTTTTCTAGAAAGATCATATGCACGAGACAATTCAGATCCCTGATAACGTCCTTAAAATATAGTCATCAGCATAATTCGACAGTTCCCAGTTCCCCTCCTCCTCTTTCCCCACTTCCCGTCCTTCTTTTCATTCTTTGTTGACGGCTGTGTACATCCCTACATGGAAGGACACTAGCTCCATGTAACCATTTTTGGACTTAGCCATAAGCAACCGTACAATGAATATCTCTGCACGCATCCCTGTCTTCTTTTTGACTATTTTTCATCAGCAAAACTGTAAGTGGCTAATCACTTTTTAAATTTTATTTATTTAACTAATTTATTTATTTAAATCCCAACCTTAGTCTCCCGTCCTTCCCTCTTCCCACTTCCTCTGCCTGCCCCCAATCCACCCCCTCCATATTTGCTCAGAAAGGGACAGGCCTCCCTTGCTCATCAGCAAGCCATGGCCTATCAAGCTGCCTGCCATAAGACCGAACACCTGCCCCTGTATTCAATCTCGGCAAGGCAATCCAGCATGAGGAATGGGTTCCCAGTGCACAAATACCCCACAACAACCAAAAGTCAGGCAAAGCACCAGGGACAGTCCCTGCTCCAATTACCAGGAGTCCCACCAAAAGACTAACTACACAACTGTCTCATATATGCAGAGGGCCTAAGTCAGTCCCATGCAGGCTCCCTGGTTGTTGGTTCAGACTCTGTGAGATCCCATGAGTCAGGCAAGCTGTTTCTGTGGGTTTTCCTGTGATATCTCCGACCCTCTAGCTCCTACGATCCCTCCTTCCTCTCCTCAGCACTACTCTTCAGGGTCTATTCGCTTTCTAAAGGCTTGCGAATAGTTCCAAACAGTTTTCCTTTCAAGATCTCTGAGTGTCTGACCATCTAGGCCATTTCTTCCTGGTGGAGCCACAAGGATTTCCTTTTTCCTCAGGGATAATGGGGAAATCACTGCAGATCTCCGAATCCCTGTTTCCCAGTTGCAACTGCTGCAGTTTGGAGTCATGGTTCCCTGCCTAATGATGCCAAGGCAATGGCCGGGATCAGATCTCAGGACTTGGGGCACTAGCAGGCTCCTCAGGGATGCTCATAGCCAAGAAACAGAAAAGGCGTCCTTGGAGATTGTGAGTGTGCAGGGTGAGAGGAAGAACAGCACACAGGATAAGGGACGTGTCTCAGGCTTATCCTCTGAGACAGTGGCAGAGGGAGGGGCCACCATGTCAGCTTTGATCATCCATCAGGCTGGTCCCTAAAGGGAGGGGCGGAGGTTAGCGAAAACAGAGACTGTCATGCTGAAGGTCACAGAGAGCAGAATCGTCAGCAAGGCTCCAAAGGAGTTGAGCCGAGCTTGCTGGTTCGGGACCTAAGAATTGTTTTTAGTTTTCAGTTTTTCCACACATTTGAATATCTCCAGTTATTTTTAGGCATAGGAGTCTGTACATGTGCATATGTGTTTATAGATTTAATATGGGGAATGTCCTCAATGGCACCTGTGCAAACTATATAATTTAAAGTAGAGATAAATCTAACTTCCTGTCAAATATAAATTCCTTGTTGGTCATTTCGGTAAGAGTCGAGTGCACATTTTGGAGGCTTCTTCTTTCATAGTTTGAGGGGATGGGCATCTCCGGCAGGGTTTTCTGTCCCCTCTGCCCCTCCAGCAACATCGACCAATGCTGTAGAGAGCCCAAGCCTTCCGGTTGACTCTGTGGCACAGCCCACTTATTGTGTTGGGTATGAAAATAGATCAAAGGCCTGACCTATGACCTTGGTCTTGGTTGGTTGTGTGGTCCTTAATTGGAGATAATCTTTTCCGAATTAACTTCTAGGAACTTCCACGTAAGTGGCTTAAAGTGAAAGCCTTCCAAATAGCAACTCCGCATCGATAATCTGTGGTGATCTCTTTCACCAGGATGGTGGCTTTGGGGAGAAGAGCTTTAGACAATCTAAGCAAAGCAGGGGCATGGAGAAGTCTGACGGAGGAAGAGCGCTGGCCTTGGGTTTGACCTTCCGATCCCTCAGGTGAGATGAGACCTTTGTTCTACCTCTCGGGACCCCATGGTGAGAAGGACTTTTATGTAAGGCCAACCGTTTGAAGGTGAGTTCCCACCCTACGGTTTTCTAACGGTGTCAGAGGCAGAAAGAGCACAGCTTGCCTCTTGAATGTCAGGTGCAGACCATTTCGGAAATAAGCGAAAAGAAAAGAAAAGGAAACAAGAAAGAAGGAAGGAAAAAAAAAAGTCCCTTTGGCTCTCAAAGTAAGAATCTTTGAAATGAAAGTTGAGCAGGGCGTAAACATGGGGGCACACAATGAGCCCAGAGGCACAATTGAGAACACAGGCCACTGCCTCTCTGTAACAGAAAGCCAAGAGATATTCTGTTCCTTAATTAAAACGGAGCTCAGGAGTCGGTGGGAGGCACCTGCACAGCCCCTACCTGAAGATACCAATGTACAGAGAAACCTCCAGCCGGGGGATTCACACAGAGGACATGTGGGCAATTGTGAGTTTCTTTCAAACTCGGCCTCTGTCTGTCATACCTATGTAGTTACAAAATCAAAGGGGATAATAAAGTTCAATTGTATATTCACAGTTTGATATTTCTATTGATAGGTCTCCCACACAAAAAAACCCTCCATTTCGGGAAACTGAATCTGTGTCCCTCCAAGAAAGCTCTGAAAGGCTCTCCCGGGCAGCCAGTCCCCACCCAACAATCCCATCAAATCTCAGCCTATGAGGTGGGCCCGGCGAGGTTCAAAGGTGTCAAATTGGGCCTCCTCTCCCCAGGTTCTGTCCGTAGTTTTAAAATATCCCTCTGATGGTGAAAAGGAAAACACCCTGGCCAGGACAGAACTGAATTAAAATCCAGCTCCTGAGTAGGGGGGGGCAGGAAGAGAGAGAGAGAGAGAGAGAGAGAGAGAGAGAGAGAGAGAGAGAGAGAGAGCGCCATTAACCCAACCATCACCAAATGGTTGAGGGGGAGCCAGAGCCCCTGGAGTACCAGGCAGGGCTAGGCTGAGAGCCACCCTCCTCCCTGCCTTGCACCCATGCCTTAGAAACTGAGACACTGCCAACTCTGAAGGGTTTTCTCATTTTAAAGCCATCAATGTATTTTGCTACTACGGAAATACTCTTCAGAGGCGCGAGAAAATCAGCCCGCAGGTGCCTCTAATTTTTTGAGATTTTTTTTTTCTTGGAAAAGAGGAGTGGGTGTTCGACTCGATTCAAAACCAGCCAGTCTGTTCTCGTGGCAGTGTATGGGACTAGGCTCGTGGCAGAGTGGAGTGTATCTGAATGCAAAAAAATTAAACGGAGGAACTGGGCGGGGGGAACAGGTGCTCTTTTATAAAGGCTAAATTCCATATTTACCAAACTGATTTGCATGAGGCATGTTTTCAATGAAAATATTGCTACTCATTTTGCTGCATTTGTGCAACAGAAACATAAGGACGGAGCAGCAGAGGGGTGCGGCTCTCAAGCTGGAAGCGTGCACCTTCCCCTCAGCCCGCGGTTCCGCAGCACAGTCGGGAGGGTAGCTCTCCCACGTGCTGCTCCCACAGCCAAGAAAGCAGGACTTGGAGAGTCCTGTGACCCAGCCAGCCTCTGGGTCAAGAGCTGGGTGAGTCTGTGAGGGTGGGAATATCTAATCCCAGCTCTTGGATGCTGAGGCAGGAGAATAGTGAGTTTTAGGCCAGCAAAAGGGTGCGGGGATGAGAGTTGTTCATGGATCATTGTCAAGTTAGAACCCATAAAATAGCTCAAGAAAAACTTCTAAATTAATTCCATGGCTTAGTAAGCCAAGCTAGCCCTGACTGTTATTGGCAAGGCTGGGTTTCTCTGGTCTTAAACCTGATACTTTATGTCCCATTCGTGTAAATTCTTCACGTAAAGGAAAAGGGCTGCCTACTAGGTGGCATCGGATTGCCATCAGAAATCAAACGTATGAAGAAACCACCCTCATTTTATAGATAAAGAAGTGGAGGCGGAGAGAAACGGGGACCCTGCCCTGTGCCACCGAGGCCACAGTGAGTCACTTCACCACTGCATGCATGCTGGGTGCTACCTATCCACAGAACACCACAGACGTGCGAGATGAACAGAAATGAGACAGAGGCAGAATAAGGTTGGGAGAATAAGGAACTGAAGCAATGCTCCCGACGGCCATGTTAACAACTGTGGGAGGTGGAGAGCTGACTGCGTGAGTAAGGCTGGTCGCCTGAGTGCTCATATCTCTGTTCCCCAGCAGCAGGGTGAACCCAGTGATTTTAGGTGATTCTCCAAGGGGCTGAAGCGTTCTGAGCTCGTGGAGTATGCTCTCCAGAAGGAACTGGGGGGAGCATTTTACAAAGAGATGGAGGGGCTGGAGGGACGGCTCAGTGTTTAAGAGCACTGGCTGCTCTTCCAGAGGACCTGGGGAGACTCTCAGCACTACATGGTATCTCACAGCCATCTTTAACTCCAGTTCTAGGGAGATTCGGCACCTTTTTTCTGGTCTCCTAGGGCAGCAGGCATGCACATGGTGCACAGACCTACATGTAAGCAAAATACCCATATGTGTAAAAATGATATTAAATCTTTAGAAGAAGTGAAACTCCAAAATATCTCTCTCATCTATATCTATCTATCTATCTATCTATCTATCTATCTATCTATCTATCTATCATCATCATCTTCTTTCCTTCCCTTCCTCTCGCTTCTTTTTTCTTTTCTTTTCTTCTTTGGAGATAAACTCAGAACTAGTCCAGGCCTCCTGTGTGGTTTGGCGGCAGCCGGCGTGTGTGTGTGTGTGTGTGTGTGTGTGTGTGTGTGCCTTGCCTTACAGATGTAGAGGTTCCAGAAAGAGCCTCAAGGGTAAGTTCGTGCCCAGCCTTTGCAGACAGCAAGCATGGCGGTCCTTCCTAGCAGCCTAAGGGAACACAGTGAGGATGTGCACAGGGCACAGCCTCGAGAATGTCATGTGGATATCTGGGGCCAAAGAGAACTTGGATGTCAGAGGCAGCCATCTTTCTTTCCAAGGCCCATTGAGCCCACTCATTCACTGTCTGGCCGATTTTCATAGCTGTGCAAGCTCCATGCTGGGAGCCTCGTTGGTGTAAGCTGAAAGCTTCTTTAGTCTCCCATCTCCGAACATTTGTGCTTACATAAGCACCGAAGCCGACCATGGGGAGAGTGGGCACTGGACAGAGAGAGGGCAAGACCTCCCCAGGGGGGCTCTAATGCTCTCAAGTGCCCTTGGGCCATCAGGAATTTGTCCTTTGAGATTTGCATACTGGATCTGGGGTCACTTAGAGAAATTGTTAGGATACTGTGTGTGTGTGTGAATGGTGTTGAAGGTACATTTTCAGGGTCAATATTTGAACAAACTTCTACTTAATAGGACACCAACAACAGATCAAGGGAGCAATTCCATTCATGTATAGACAGGAGAAACAATGAGTTTCCTTATAGGAGTGTGGGGGAGGGGTTCTTTATAGACTGGGGGCTCCTTAAGGGCTACTACAAGAGAAAAAAATGCTCTCTCCCCCAGCAATTGTTAACTGTCCCTAAATCCATAATTGATGGGGCCTTGTGAACCCTCCTCCGGGATGATGGAAAGATACTAGATCCAATCTTGTGCTGGTTTCCTTGGGAGACTCAAGATTGCTGATGGTTCAATAGGGCAACAACCATGTCACGCCCAGAGGACAACGTTCCAGGACAAATGGGAAGAGTCAAGCAGACAAATCAGGGTCTCACTGGGTGAGCTGACATATGCCTGTGATCCTAGAACTTGAGAATAAGGCAGCAGAATTGCTGCAAGTTTGGTGCCATCCTGGGCTTCATAGCAAGTTACAGCCCAAGCTGGGCTAGAGAGTAAGACCTTGACTCAAGCCAAAGCCAAAACCAAAACCCAAACCACAACTGCAAACATTTTCTAGCTGCCTGCACCCTGTGACCAACAGTTTGGAGTCTCTAGAAAATCCCTGAATTTTAACAAAGCAGGACTTTAAAGGTCCCTAGGCTTAGGAAATCCTTGCAGCCCTCAGAGATGCCCCCTCAGAGATGCCCCTTCTTTCATGATGTATACAGCACAGGTTGCAACCTGTGGTCGCACTGTTTGTTTGTTTGTCTCTCTGTTTCTAAGCCGGTGCTAACGGGATAGGAGTTCAAGTGTGCCCATGAAGAAACAGAGAAGAATGAAGCACCATTAGGATGTCTGCTTCCCACTGATCACCAACCCCCAGATCACATCACCCCAAACAAGTGTTATTGTTTTACATTTGTTCTTTAAGAGCATAAACTTTTGAGTTGGTGTTCAAATCCCAGCTCTGCTGTTAGGAGCTGTGTGGCCTTGAGAAAGCTATTTAGTCTCCCTGGGCCTTCGTTTCTCCATCACTGAAACTCGGGTGTTAATGGCATAGACTCTGTGTGATATAATGACTGAACAATCAGGAGATATGAAGGATTTGGAATCCTGCCTATAAAATAAATAATAAATTTTAGTTCAACACCTAATTAATGATCTTGGGAACTTTTCTAGAAGCTGCTCTGTTCTTAGTGGTTGAATGCTGTCCCGTTATATGGAAAGACAAGAGTATTTTAGCTGGTAGCCTATTGGTAAACATTTGAGTTGTTCCCAGTCACTTGCTGGCAGAACAAGACTGCCTCTGTCACCGAGCATCCACCTGGGGCATGAAGACTTCCAGAAACTAAAATTGCTAAGTCTACTTCCTCACCCTTAAATTATTATTATTATTATTATTATTATTATTATTATTATTATTATTTTTGGTTTTTCGAGACAGGGTTTCTCTGTGGCTTTGGAGCCTGTCCTGGAACTAGCTCTTGTAGACCAGGCTGGCCTCGAACTCACAGAGATCCGCCTGCCTCTGCCTCCCGAGTGCTGGGATTAAAGGCGTGCGCCACCATCGTCTGGCTAAATTATTATTTTTTTGAGATAATATTTCATTCACTCTTAACTCTTATCTCATATTGACCTGGAACTCATGTAGCAAATGCAATGTTGTCTCAAACTTAAAGCAATCCTCCTGTCTCAGTCTTTCAAGTACTGGGATTGCAATCATGAGATACCATGCTTGGCTTTACACTTAAATTTTTGATAGACATTGACAAACTTCTAAGCAGCACCTCTCCCCCTTTTGATGTGTCTCCTCGTGAAAGCATGCGAGATCTCTGCCTTGTCACTCCCTGACCTTTACCCTGTCAGAGAGCAAGAGTGGTTGAACATTGTTTTGAAATGGGCCTCCTTTTTCTATAAAGTTGCTGTTTTTTTTTTCTCATACAGCCCTCTGTTTTTTTTTTTTTAAACCAGAGAGCCCTAGTTACATACTAAGCCTTCTGTGAGTGATTAGAGCTGCCTCCTGATTGATCACACTTAAAATCTCATTAGCCTGTGTGAAAAGGTTTTCATGATGGTAATTTTCTTCAAAATGTTGAACAGAACAAATTTGATCACTGCAAGGATCCGTTAACACTCAGGCAAGCTTATCTGCCGTGCTGGGGAATGAGAGTTTATTGCATCATAAAAATGTTACCTTCCGCTTGTGTTAGGTGAGCGTTGAAATTTTTATGAGCTCTTCCTAACCCAAAGTTATCAATAAATAATATTCAAATCTTGACTGGACTAATCTTAGATTGATGTGACTTATTTGATAAATCAACACCATAAAGAAACTCACGGCTGAGTGGCCAAGGAGAGAAGGCAGATTCTAACTCTGCATTACTGAGTCAGAATCCAAGGATAAGAAGTGGCTGGTGTTTGACCTTCCAAGAGTGGCCATCGTCAGGAAGGGAACAAGCAGCGAGTTCTCCCTGGTGTGGCTCTGATGTCATCCTTCACCTGGGACACAGTCTCTGGCAGTCTCCGATCCACATTCAGAATTCCCATTCCTCTTCAAAGAGACTAGGAATCTTCCAGAAAGAATAATGGCTGGCATTGATTTACCCCAGCCATGGTGTAAGCACCCTCACTCACACTGCAATGACCCTCAGAAATATTGCCATTTTCATTTCATAGAGAGAAAACTGAATTAGCTTGCACAAATTGCACAGCAGGCAAGTGGGTGAAAGGATCGAGCCTGTCACTGAAGTCCCTACTTTTTCCTTACTTGCTCTTCTTATGGCTCTATGCCAGTTTGGGAAGCCTTAAGCGCACAATCCCCCCTCAGCTTCCAGAAGCCTGGAATTACGGACATGCATTCCCCGTGCCTGGTTCCCCACTCTTCATCACACATAGTTGCCCACTAGAAGTTTCTGACTCTTACCACTTAAATTTTGAAGTGTCACCTCACGCTGAAGAGGTGAAATGACCTCGTGGAACACAAAGATGCCAGGCTGGGTATGCCACTCAGTAGTATAGCACCTGTCTAGCTTCTCTGGGATCAGACCCCAGCACGGCAGAAATCTCCAAATCAGGAGCTCAGATATCAAAAGCTCTAGGATGCTCCTGACTCTGAGACCCTGTACCAACAATCATCTTTTTCTTTTCTTTTACTGGGCCTGTATGTACATGTTTGTATGTATGCATGCAAATGCATGGGCGTATGCAGGTAGGGGTCAGAAGTCAACCTTGAAATGCCATTCTTCAAGATCTGTCCATTGTGTTTTGTAGACAGGGGCTAAGCTGGCTAGCTGGTGAGTCTCGAGGACCCATCTATCTCCACCTCCTGAACACTGGGACAAGAATGTATCACCAGCCAGCTTCTTACATTGGTGCCTGAGATGAAGCCCAGGTCCCCATGCCTTCATGGCATGCGCTATTCCTTCAGTTCGTTTCTTTCGTAACCTTCTCTATACCTAAGAATAGAAATGGTACTTTAGGTTATTGATAAAACTACCTTGAATAATTGTATATGTGTGTGCAAATATAATCTATTTAGTTGAAAATGTGTCTGCCAGAGGGATCAAGCCTAGGAGTGGTGGGGAATTCCCTAAACCACTTAGAGAGTCACAGGGCACAGGAGGAGCTTTTTGTCTCATCTCCACCAAGGGCTCGTGTGATGGACAGTGAACTCTTATGACTTCAATTCTTTCTTAGAATCTGTTGCACAGTGAGAAGAATCTATTACACAGTGGTCACAATGTTAACATGGTAATGTGTAAGAATTATCATCATTAAAGAGGACCTAATCACAGTGGATAAAGTGACAGTCCTGTGACTTCCCAGAAATCCCTTGAGTGGTGACTGTGTAAACATTGACTTCCACATTCTTTATTTTTTTTTTAAGAAACAAATTATATACAAATTCTTTGGTGTTTGTGGTTGTTTGAAAGAAAATGGCCCCCAAAGGGAGTGGCACTATTAGGAGGTGTGGCTTTGTTGGAGTAGGTGTGGCCTTGTTTGAGGAAGTGTATCCTGTGGAGGTGAGCCCTAAGGTCTCCTATGCTCAAGCTACACCCAGCGTGGAACACCCTTCACTTCCTGTCGCCCGTGGATCAAGATGTAGAACCCTCAGTTTCTTCTCCAGCACCATATCTGTATGCAGACTGCCATGTCTCTCCATGACCTCCGAACTGTCAGCCAGCACCAATTAAATGTTTTCCTTTATAAGAGTTGCTGTGGTCATGGCATCCCCTCACAGCAATAGAAA